TTCTGTTTACTTGGTTGAATGACAACGATAGGAAGATAGGCAAGGGCTTTTTTGCGATATCTTTTACCGGACCAATCAAAGTTATCACAATAAAATGCTTGTCTCTGCATTTGGGGATCCCTTTCTTGCAATCCTGCATTGAGGTTCTCCCCGTCCCTGCCTCCTCAGATTCTCCAGCAGGTCAGAGATCCCAGGATAAACATCCCCGCCAGAAGGAAAGAGATGGCAGTGGTGCCATATCTCCTGACCATGGCTCTTTGCATTCAAGAGTCCTGGAGGGAGAAGAGATTTCCCAGCTAGGCAGTGTCTGGAAGAGCTGGGAAATCAAGGTGGCCAGATGGCTGAGGGCAGGCAAAACTTGGGGACATCCAAACCCCAAGCCTCTGGGCTTGGGCCTGCATGTAGGATGCCTGCTGAAAGACTTTGGAAATATCTGAAGCCCCTGGTGGGGGCGGAGGATGTTTGCTGGTTGTAGGGTGACTTATGGCTCTGGACTGAATTATGGATTTGGACTAGATTTGGCTGAGTTGGCCTGGAACACAAAAAATTTCTTTAAAAAAAAAAGTGGCGATCCCAGCCACTGGCCACATGCACCCCATACTGACCACTGCCCTCTCCCTGGCTCTGCAGGCTCGGGCCTCCATGCAGGCTGAGATGGTCCTGAAGGAGGCTGAGGCCGAGCGCCAGCGCAAGCGGATCGTGGAGCTGGAGGAGATGCAGAAGCGGCTGCAGGAGGCACTGCAGCAGGAGGTGAAAGCACGCCAGGATGAGGAATCTGTGAGATACGCCCAGGCCAGGTGCGGCTGGAGATACTCACCTTCATACCCATGCTGCCAGCAGCACCCCCCACCCCCCCATGCCTGGTCCTTACAGCCCAGAGGAGTTGGGAGCAGGCCTCATAGCTTGTGCTATTGCCTCCCTTCCTGCAGCGCTCCCTTCTGGGGCAGGTTGGGCCTGGGTAGCTGTGATCTTGCCCACAGCAGGTATAGACCATGTCCACTCGCTGTGGTGCTGCCTCCCCTTCTGCTGGTGCCTGGGCTGCAGACAGAGGTTGATAAGCCTGTTCCTGCCTTGGCCAACTGAGCTGCATCCTTTAGGCCAGAAAGTAGAAGTTCCTGCTTCCCGAGCTCCTGCTGTCAAGGTCACAAGTTTGCAGGCACAACGCCAGCAAATTCCCCCTTCCCTCCTCTCCACTCTGCCAGAGATGGGAGCAGCTGTGAGTTTCTCTCACATAGCTAGTGCTCCTACACATGCTTCCTTGCAGTGCCAACCCTTTCCAACTAGCATCCACATGCCAGTCCCACCATTGGCTCCTGCTGGCTGAGATCAGGAATTACCTCTGACCCTCCTGGGTGGTGGTGTCACTGGAGCACTGGTACAGGCTCTTCTGTGACCACCTTGAGTATTTCCTCTGCAGATTGTTGTCTGAGGAAGAGGAGAAACTGAAGGAGCTGATGAAGCTGAAGGAGGAGCAGGAGGAGTATATCATCAAGACCCAGCGGGAAAAGCTGGTCCTCAAGCAGGAGATGGAAAACAAAAATAAATACTTGGAAGAAGCCCAGAAGCAGCTGGAAGAAGTGCGAGTGAACAGGCAGCGGGTGGACCAGGATGTCATGGTGAGCATCGGGGCACCTCCACATCCCTGGGCATCATTAATGTTTATGGGAGATATTTTCCCAGCCTGCCCTCAGAGTCTCTCCCACTACAGGATGGCTTTTCTGTAGCTGAAATCAGTGTGTCCACTCTAGAAAAATCCCAGGGATTTATGCTTAGCTTGTACTTCTCCTTCGGTCTGGTCTGTTCTCACATGGCATAAACGCAGAATGCTGCATCGCTGGTGACAAAATTACAGCCCTGTTAAGCTGGAGGGCAGGGGCCATCCAACAAGCACAGCTCCCTTCTGTCTGATTTGGCTGAGTTACGGTCATCAAGCAGTAGCCAGATACTCTGCATTGCTGGGCACAGGGGCTGATGATGTCCAGCTGCACTAATGGACAGAGTCCCAAATGCTGCCTGGGGGGTTCTGCTTTCAGCTCTCTGGGAGGGAGCAGAGTCTGTTCCAGTTCCAGAATTTGCTTTGCCTGAGTAACAGTCTCAGCCTGGATCAGCAGAGGGGTTTGGACCTGCTCCTTCCAGCCCCACAGCACAGGCCTCTACCACTTGGGCTGAAGGTGCTCCACTAGGTGCAGCAGCAATGTCTCTTCTGTGATGGATCACAGGGAGGCAGCACATGCTGACAGTCCAGTCCCAGCTGTCGCAAGCAGGTTCCTAGTGAATCCTGGAAGTCAGAGAGGAAGTGGTGGATTTGGGGAGTTGCTCCTTTGCCTTCACCTCGCAAGTGAGAAGTGTGCTGATGACAGAGCAAGGCTTGAGGGCTGGCAGAGCAAACCACCAACCATCTTTCCACACTGCGGTGGATTTATTGCAGCTGTCTGTTCAGTGTCTGTGCCATGCCAACTGCGTGCCTGGTATTGAGCGGCAGTAAAAGAAGGCAAGAGTCCTGCCCTGCAGAGATTACAAGGGAATGCCTGATGGACAGTAGAGATGACAGTGCAAAGGGATTTAGTGCAGCAAGAATGCAGGCCAGGACAGGGCAGCCCTGAGCAAACTGACTAAGGCTGGGTTAGCTTCAGCGCTAGTTAGGGACCCACGATACATCTGGGACTACAGTCCACATATGGCATCCTCCTTCAGTGCATGGGATTCCTGGCTTCCAAGAGCTGGTTCCAGTTCCTGGGCCCATCTCAAGCTTGCAGCCCTGCCAAAGCAGCACCTGAACAGTTTGGATCAGGCTCCGTTTATCAAGGCAGCTTAAGATCGAGGCCCAGTTCTTGTGCAGCGAGGATGGTAACCACCAGGCTTTGTGGGCTGGGCAGGCTGGCTGCAGGCATCCTGTCATGACACTTTTCTCCTCCTCTTTGTTTCAGGTGGCCCAGAGGAAGCTGCGACAGGCCAGCACCAATGTCAAGCACTGGAATGTGCAGATGAACCGACTGATGCACCCCATTGGGCCGGGAGGTGAGAGCTGGGCCAGCCAAGGCCTCAGGACTAGATATAGCCAAGTCTGAGAGCTGCAGCCGTGTCAGCTTTGCAGTACTTCTGTACCCCACCAACTCAGTAGGGTTGGGCCTGGCTATTACTCTGGTGGCCTTCAAAGAACACTTCTGTGCTATTGGTGGAAATGCTCTTGAATCTCTTAGCTGTGTTCTTTGCAACCAAGTCTGACCTCGCTGTGGGAGAGTGCTGTCCTCTTCCAGATCAGATACAAAATCAAGGCTGTAACTGCTTGAAGAACCTGTGCCCCTCCTCCCAGAAGCAGGGATGCGATTACCTTCTGTCTCTTTTCCCCCTTGCTGTCTTCAGTGCTTGCTCTCCACTGTTTACTGGCTGCCATACTCCACCCCAGAAGTGGTTGCATTTCAGTAGTGGGTGACATGTGACAATACATTGTAGCTTGTAAAATGCTTCGGAATGAGTGGCCGCCATATCACGCTGTTATAACAATGGTGAGAGGCTCGTGGGTGGGCAGCCTTTGTCCAAAGCTGCATTTGCTGTGGGAAATAATCCTTTGTTTGTGTCTGTTCCCAGAGAAGCGTTCAACACTGAGCGGAGGGTTCCCTGGCTTCCAGCCCACGCTCCTCGCCAGGAGGGACTCGTCACTTAAGCTCAAGCAGAAACCAGAAGATAAAATCTGTGATCCCGTGCCAGAAGAGAGCAAGGAAACCGTGAACAATGGGGAAGCCAGGAGGCTCTCGCTGTCTCCTGACGCAGACACCATGGCCACAGAACCCTCCGAATAGCCACGGCAGCATGGCACAGCCTGGAGCCGAACTGCGGGGCCTGGCAAGATCAGACTAGAAGAGCGGTCGATACGGGGATCTGTGTGTGGAGACGAGTGCAGCGCATAGACACATAGGAGGGACGTGTAACACATCTAGGGCCGACATACTTCCACTCTGTTCATCTCTTCTCTGCAGGGGCAACTTGCAAGAAGACCTAGAGCCACTCCTGGCTCGTGAAGACATTGGCAGGTCCCAGCCTCTGTGCTGCATAAGTGCAGCCCCTGGACGGTACAACTCCCAGCATGTTCTGCTCCATCTTGACCTGAGCAGCCTGCAGCCCCCTCCCTATAAAAGCTGAGGGTGGCTGTGCATCCCACTATAGGATTCTGCAGTTTGTGTTTGGCCCATGGACCTTGCTCTGGCCACCCCTGATGTCAGGATTTCCCATTTGTTGCTAATGGCAACTTCTGCTGTCCAATTTGCTGAGCTACAAAGTGCATGGTTCTCTTAACGGTGCCTGCCAAAAGACCCTGAAAAATGGAGCTGTGCCCTTTTTTGCTTCTTTGAAAAGATACTAAAAAGCCTTATTTTCCCTAACTGTTCAGAAGGACCTCATTAGTGCGGGCACTGGATGTTTTCACACCTTCGTAGAAGGGGCGGGGGCTCTTTAACAAGCATGTGCTTTCTCTAAGGGTGTTTGTTAGTCACTGGAGTCACATAGATGTAAACCAGAAATAAAGCTTTGGAAATGATCTTCACGTCTCCTCTCAGCACTCAGATTTCACTCTCTAGATGTCATTGTTTGCTTGTTCTCCTGTCACTATGGCTAGGGACAGGAATTACACATAAAGTGGTATAAGTAATCGGAAACTGGTTCAAATCTGTAACACAACAGAAGTTCAGTGCACATAAAACACTTTCAAAATGGCTGGAACTGGTTTAAGATAAATCTGGATGGATGCAGTATCAGACTTGACTGATTTAGATTAAATCAGTTTATTGAGCTGTCCCAGATCCCCTCCAGATTCAAGTTAACTCACAGTCCCACAGCATCCCAGGATGGTTCACCAGGGTGGGCAGGATAGCCTTTGGTGCAAGCTGTCTGCTCCAGCCAAACAAGAAGGTGTGCTCTAGCGTCCCCTGGCTTCTGGCTTGGGCCACTGCAGGCATGTGGCTGCGTTTCTGGAATCAAAAGTGAATGTCTCTTCACTTGCTTATTGGTTTAATCTACGCAGTTTAGACTAACCTGCGAAGATTGAATCGATTCAGCCTCAGGCTTTTTGACTGTGTACTTAGCCTATAGGATCCTCTGGAATTCACCAAGCCTGAATTTTCTAATCTAAATCTTTCTGAGGCCTCCTTTTCTAATGGCAAAGCTATAGCCAATGGCATTCACCCCCTGGAGAACTAAAGATGAAGAGGATTTTATAGAAGTCAGGTATTATCATGCAGCCTCTGCATTCAGAACACATGTCCTTACCTCTGAGCCCAAAGGAGAATTCCCATTTACTAGTAGTAGCATTAGGACTCACAGCTTCCCAGGACTATAAGCTCCATGATGTACAGTTGGGATAATAACTTGCCCTGCCTCTTGGGGGAGGAGGGTGTGAGGACAAAAACATCCTAGAGAATGACTGCTTTGATATGATGGTAATGAGGGGCATGCATGGTACGTTGTTTAGCCATCTGGCTGAATTTATAGGCCCTCAGTCTCCAGGACTGTGCAGCCATTCCCATTTCAGACACAGTGGTTAATTAGGGCCCAATCCAAGGCTCATTGAAAGCAATAGAAAGACTCCCATTGACTCTGAAAGGTCTTGGACTGGATCTTTAAACCTCACATCTGTCTGTGCTGCAAATTCAGTGGCAGGTGGATCTGTCAAGTTTCTTAAATAGCTGGGCTCTTGGGCTGTCCACATCACTGCATTTATACCCTGGAAGACAAAGCCTAAAAGCCAAGTGTTCTGGCAACCTTGGCTTTGAAAATGCCACCCTTGGGTTCCTTTTTCCCAGCACCTCTGCTTCAAAATATTCCTATCAGTCTGTCTTAAAGCCATGTGCCCAATGCAATAAAAAGGCCAGACTAAAATAAGGAATATGTTGAAAGTTGGCACTCATAGAAGCACCTGCTGTAAAATGCTGGGTTTGGAGTGACCCCAGTCAGTTCTAATTAACTCTCCACCATTTACGACGAGGTGGCCCTCTCTCTCCTACTTTGTGCTTCTCTGGGCAGTTTCCCATTAAACTGTTATTTTAATGGTATTGCTTGACTATTGCCCTTAATTAAACCTCCTATGAGAAGAGCCACTTTCTTTGCAAGTTTTGTGCCCAGCTATCTGGTGCTGCACAGCTGCCCTCAGATACAAAGATTCACTGTGTCAGCAACAGGACTCATCTTTGTTGAGGGTCCCGCTGTTAAAACACCACGATCCTGTTTTCCATACAGCAGCCAAAGAGGGGAGAGAGGCCTTGTCTGCCCTGCATTTTGCACAAAATGATCCCACTGGTAGATGGGACTAGGATGGTGGCTGCCAACCCTTTCTGTGCTCAGATCTCCCTCTCAAGCAGGCAGGCTGTAGACAGTCGTGGTTAAGTGAAGGGATTTGCCCCTTTACCAAGGCTCACAAGTACGAGACAGAGAATCGCAGGGAGAACTAGACCGCACCAGCCAGGGGCTGTGCACTGAAGCAGAGGAACAATAAATCTGTAACCTCCTAGAGCCTTGCACTGCACAGTTACTAAGCCAGGACATCACAAGGGTTGTGGCGAGAGCAGTTGCTACAAAAGCACACACCCTTTCCATTGACCCTGCAGGATGATCTCTGTTGGTCTGTAGCAGCGAAGGACCCACGATGTACGGGTGACTTCTGTGTTCGTCCAGCAGAGGGCAGTTTGTGACAGCAGTTTGATTCCACCTGGGTGATGCTATAAAATGGGCTCAACAGCTACAGAGTCTTTGCCTTGCCACCAAAGCAGCTAACGCCAAAGAAATTAGTACCCTCATTCTGGGTGAGCGTGAGATCCCCTTCTGCTTTGCAAATCTCCTGGAGAAGCAGAACCATTTAGTTGGGTGGGATACGAAGGTCTGAAGGCGCTTCTTGTACGGGACACGGTGCAGCTACAAGCCCGAAGAGAATAGTTCCGTATTGAAGACAGAAGTCTTCTGTGGGAGAGCGGAAGGAAAGTGGCTGTCCATCTGCAAGTCATGGAGGGGGTGGAATAAAAGGAAGGATGGTTCTGCAAGTACAATGTCCCCATGGGATATGGGAGATTTTGATTCCAGAACAGTCTCAGATTTCCTGTGTGACCTGGGACAAGTCATAGGGTCAGATCCCGTTCCATCTATTAGGCATCGAATTGCAGTCCTGCTCCACCCTACTGGAGTCCACGAAACACCCCTGCTTTTGTAACAGCCATTGTCTGAGCCATCCGGCAATGTCAGAAAAAACAGCAAGTAGGAGGAGAACCCACCTGTGCTTTGCATTGAAAAGCATTTCTGAGACCCAAGCAGGGTGAAATAAGATCACACTTAGATGCCTAACAGGTGGCCCATCATGTCTGTGGCCTCGATTTTCTATGTTTAAAGTGGGGATATGAATGCATCGCTACCTCCTAGGTGTGTTGTAAAGATAAATAGCTAGGTAGGACATGTGTGACTAGCAGACAGAGTCCTTGACTTTTTCAGGCAGAAGGAATCCTTGGGCAGTGTGTAAAGAAACACCTCTGTTTCACTGTCTTTATCACTAGACTAAGGTGATTTTGGTAAATGAAATCTGGCCACCAAAAGCAGGAAGAGACTGGGTTTGGTTCAAAGGCTTTCTGGAGGCAGGGGGTCGTCGCAATTTGTTTTGGGTGGTCTGGGGCAAAGGTAGCCCAGAAGCTGCGTGTGCCAGGGGCAAGTGGATTTTCCTGACCTGGAATAAGAGGCAGCTGGGCTAGGCACGGCTCCCAATCGCATGCTCATCATTGGTAGCCAAGAAGAAATCTTCTCCCTTGGCAGATTTGCAAGGCAGGGTCCTTAGGAAGAGAAGGTGAGAGCATGGTCACTGGGCCTGAATAATTCTTATGCTGGGGGGTTTCCCAGACAAGCTGTCTGTGCAGAAAAGGGAAGGAAGCAGTGACCAAAACCATGCGTCTTTCACCAGCTGTACTGTGTGCCACCTCTTTGTTGATCTGCATGGTGAAGACATCTGTCATCAGCGTGCTGGGCTACACCACATCCGGTCTCTAAATTGCTGGGAGTCGTAGGCAGAGCAAGAGAAAAAAACTTAGCCATCAGCATGCATTGGAGCCACTGCTTCTCCCAGTGGCTTAGGGCAAGCAGCTGCCATGATGCAAGTGATTAATATTTGGTTTGCAGCTTCCAAAGTGGATCCTCAAAGGCCACAGGACACATACAGCAAACCTGGTTTTCTTCCCCCCAGTGCAGGGAGCTGCCTCCTTTGTTCATATTTGGGGTCAGGAAGGAGTTTTACCCCGAGGTCAGATTGGTACAGACTATGGGAATTTTTACCTTCCTCTGTAGCAGGGGGCATGGCCTTCTACCTGGACTCCCTTGAGCATATATTAACAACCTTTTATACAAGCAGGGCATTGGCTGCTGTGGTTCCCCTATTTTACTTGTGGCATGTTAGGCTGTTAGGTCTTACACTGTGTCTGGGTTGACTGTAGTTTTATAAAGAATTAAAATTAAAGATTTGTATGGGATAGTTTGGATAGGGCTGATCCTGCCTCAGGCAGGGGGTTGGACTGGTCAGCGTTTCTCAACCGTGTGTCTCGACCCAAAAGTGGGTTGCCAGAATATAGGAAAGGGCTGTGAACAAACTTTAAAAATGGATCAGCGACCTTTAAAACTGGATTCTTCTTTAAAGGAGAAAAACTTGGGAAACCGTGGCTTTTCCCTTGCAAGGTGTCAGAGTTCCTCCTGCAAGAGGCTGCTTGGGTGCCCCCTTGCCCCACACACCCACTCTGTGCCCCACTACTGTGGGGCGGGGGGCAAGGGGCAGCAGGTCTGGAGTCAGGACTGGCCATCCATGGTTACAAATGAGTTCTGGTACCAAAAAAAGCTGAGAACCACTTGACTAGATGACTTCAGGATGTCCCTTCCACCCCAACTTCTCTATGAATCTATGATT